GTCTCGAAGAGGGCATGCAGCAATCCGGCAGAGTAAGAGGATGTAATTTACGGAGTGATGCTTGCAAGACTCTAACTGTCTCCAAGCCACCCAGCCACGCCACAGGTAGGAGAAACGTTTACAGAATGCTGCAAGCGACGGCAGAGAGAGAGAGAGAGAGAGAGTTCAAGAAAGCAGACTCTCTTTGCTTCAGAGGAACACGCCAGTCATCACGTTCAAGACCTGAGTGGTCTCAAAACAAAGGCAAAGCCAGGAGCAATGGAGCGAACAACCTGCAGCCAACGTGTCTACAAAACCAACAATAAATAATAACAATAATAATGACCATGAACAAGAATAAGAATAAGAAATAAGAATAATGATAATAATAATAGCTCGATGCTCCAATTTGTCCATCAAATCCTTGCACTTTGGTTGACCAAGCAGCGGCGAACAAACAGAACGAGATGAAGGCCTCGAACATCAAACCTAGGTCGGTTCACACCGTCGCAAGCTTGCATATGCTAACAGGCCATCCTATCCTCAACATGCAAGGCACCCGAACATTGTGGGCATGGTATCAATGAGGATGGAGAAGGGCCGCGGATGACTGCTGCGCTTGGCATTTTCTTGGTCAATGTGTGCCGGGGGGCCCCAAACAAAGCTAAGCTCAGCAAAGGCATCGCGAGCTTCCACCCATGTGAAGCCTTCCAAGTACCGAAGTGACAGGGCATGGAAATGTTAGCCTTAGAAACCCTGCCCAATCTTCTGTGCGCGCTGTGACGGTCGGTTCATCTAATCTTAGGCAGCAAATGGACTTCTGCAACGTGCATGCTTTGAGAGCCATTTGCCTGGGGCCTGCGCCAGTCCGCAGTCAAAGGAGCAAGTCTACACATAGCAGCAGTGCTCCTTCTCAATAGTTGGGCCTCCCGTAATGGAGGCGAACAGGGTGTGCATGGAGAGCTCCAGCGAGCTGAAGCGAAGACGAAGAAAGTCTGGCCCAGGGCAAGCTCTCGGGTGCATGGTCCAGTGAGTCTAGTGTGCTTGCAAACCCCACCTGTAGTCACCGGGTTCCAATGCAGCTCAGGATTTGCGAAGTACTCTGTGGTGATGTCAGTGAAAACCAGGCCGAACCTCAGGAGCGACCAATACATGACGATCTCGTGACAAATCACGGGAGGCACACCTAAGACCTTGGCAAACTGTCACTCAAATCTCATGACAGCTGCATCTCTCTCAGCCAACGGCCGAAGCAAGAAGGACTCACGAACTGCTCCCATTGGACGGAAGCAAATCTGCTGAGCGGTCACGACACATGCCAGCCAAGCGGCAAGAAGATGATTAGTACGAGAAGTGCTGCCGACCATGCCTTAGCAAGTTCATGATGTCTAAAGCTGCACAGCTAGAGCTCCACATTTGATAAACAAAATTAACCCGCTTCCGATTTAGTCCAAGGCTCCATGGCCTTGAGGGTTTTTCCGATGCAGAAGAGCAGCGACCTGAGAGCCCTCACGAACTTCACCAGCCTGATCAGGGTTGGAGAGACCCGGGCCAGGTAAGCATTGACATAGATTTCGCGAAGCGAAATCCATGCCCCACCTGATGATGCGCACTGCTCGGGTGATCTTCGCAATCCGTAGAATGCGCAGCAGGCGCATGTTGCCAAATAGGCTTTGCGAGTCGTCCACGTCCTCCTGAGTGAAGAACTCAGTTCTGGGCCCAACATGCAGCCATGTGGCAGACTCCGAGGCTTTGTGCTGGCTTAGCCCAACAATCCTGTATTGCGGGTCACCGGGCTTCAGATTTTAAGTTGCGAGGCCGACCTACGAAGACAAAGGAGGCCATGAGAAAGGGAGACAGAGAGTGCTCGAGACACCTGGACCGACAGCGAAAGGAAGAACACAGCTCATCTCGGTTCTTCTACACAATTGCCGAAGTCTAGTAACCGTTGATAACGTGTGACAGGTACGATTGTGAGGCAGGATGATGAGCCAAGCATCCTGTTGAACCGGTAGTTCCACGATGAATTCGAACACGCTCGTAGCGACCTGGAGGTCTGCTGAGACCCTAAATCCCAGTCAAAAAAACCCTTCTCTGTGACCACTTCTAGTCGCATGCTGGATCGATTTCTGCCAGGCTGCCACGAGTGTGTCCAGCAAGGTCCAAGCCCAGTCCTAGCTGACACTGCATGCGCTTACATGCCATGGTTCATACAACCAGCTAGGACCAAAATTTTTGCACTGCCTATTCACAGCCCTCTGGAAGCTACCCTGGGTCCATGCTCCTGGCCACAGTAGAGTCGAGGGCCCACAGCCGCCAGTCGTATCAGAAGCTCTATTGTGAACCTGGGTGCAGCTCAGCAGACGCACTCCTCTTGCCTAAAGGCTTCCCCAATGCATCCCATGAACGCAAGCATCCATTGCAGACGAAGTTGCAGCACACTATAGAATGTGGAGACGATGAACATCCCCCCATCCGGAGGTCTTCCTGCACAGCACAGCCGGAATACATCTATGCGCAAAGTACCGCAAAGATGCGAGACCAACTTGTGCATCGGACTGTTGCCTCACTGTCACGGGGTCTGTCTCTGGTCCCTGACAGACTGGGTCTGGCAAGTGGAATCGAATCTGCCTGGTTGAGCGGCAGAGAGCTCCACTTGAACAGCGATGAAGATAGAGTTGGTCATGATCCTTGTACGCACATGTTGCGTGCTGTCGTTCAGTGATGGCAGGACTGTGCGGTCCAGGAGCTTGCCCATGTTTTCAATGCATTCTCTTGCAACATGTTCTTGCGGCCTGCTGAATGACTGAGCCTCTAACACGCCAGCAAAGAACGTTTCGAACCTTGGCACCACAGTTTAAGTTTCAAAGAGAGCTCTAATTACCTGCATAACCCTGAACCGTAGCCTTTCAGCTTACACAGCTGCCTACCGGGTATATCCTACAAATTCATGTGCAGCAAGAAGTATACAGAGCAAACTCTGGAATTGACACTCGCAGTGAAGATCTAGAGGTGCATGTGCCGCAAAGTTGCATCCACGAGCTCACCATCTTCTGTGCGATGCGGCTAAGACGATTCGTCGGAGGATTCTCCTGACCGATGCGCAAGATTCGCTTGACTTTTCATTCTCCGCTTGCCCAGTTTTGACCTCGGAAGGGAGCCAGGAGCAGCAGTCCACGGACCAGATTGAACGTGCAGGCACCTCCATTCCGATTCATGCCGATAAAAAGCAGACTTTCTGGAGACGAAAAGGTCTCTTACCTCGCCTCCAAGCTCTCCAGGTTGAGAAGGCTAGTGCGGTTTTTGTTCGGGCTTTCAGCAACGGCGGCGGAAGCCTCCCAGAACGACGTTGCCGGTTGGCAGATATTTCTGGCATCAACTTCGTGCACAGACTGTCAGGCAGGCTTGACGGCTGCAGGCTGCACGGATCCAGCCTCAGAGCCGTTGCTGCCCGAGTCAGATTTCGAAACCGTGGATTCGCCAGATGCCTGGGATGCTGCGACTTCAACAGAATTTTTGTTTGATGCACGGTCAAGCGTTTGCCATGCTTCCTCTGCAAATCCGCTTCCGGCACAAAGCAACGACCATCACGGTCCCCTGAATGCTCGGAATAAACGGATGGGTGGGCATGCGTGGGCAATCCTTTGTAGGCTCCCGAGCATGATGCGGATGGCGCTACTGCTTCATCTCAACATCCACAGACTCTATTGTGCGAGCCTTCTGCCAAGCCACCCTTTGACGCTTTTTCCTTTTCGTAGTTGGCTGCAAAGCTTGCAGTCCGTTTTGGGACTTGCTCTCTGCGAGGAGGTCCTGGCCAGATCGAAAAACAAGCGCCACACACCGGATACCTGCGGTGAAGGTCAGGTGCAACACCCTTAGCGCTCACAACACGCTGACAAGGCCCCTGCTCAGTGGAAAGCTCTGCAGACGTCCCGGCCTGAAGCTGCTTGAAACCAACCTGATAGGCAAGCTATACAGTGTGCTCGCCACTTCAGAAAAAGCAACAGTGCTGATGAGCGGTAGGTAATTGCACCTGCATTCTGACTGTAGACAAGATTCTTCAATAGTCGCTGCCAGCTTCACTTCCTGCTGCTGGAAAAGCTCCTTATGACAGGCGGCTGCTCAATTTTATTGTGGCGACTTCCATGTCACTACATTCAACCTGCGAAATTGTAGGGCGACCGTCATGACTGGCGTTGGCGTAGAAATAGAAATCCAGGAGTTTCGTGTAGTTGTTTGTTGTCAAGGTGTGCCAGTTGTTAGGAGCGCAGCGAAAAGCATCGCTAACCGGTCCAAACCCATGCAGGCCCAGCTAAGCTCTCCTGACGGCACGAGCCAGTTGCTACCACACGCTTCCGTGCTCTGGTTTGGATGTGACAGGAGGCAATTGAAAGCTCAGGCAGTGCGAACCTCCTGACTCCAAACGATGCAACTGCGACGCTTGTGTTAGATGTATTTCCAGACAGCTCGTGTGAGTAAGCATCGTCAAACAAAGCTCGTCAAGGTGACAATTCAGCATGCTCCGAAACAAACAACAAGCCTTGAACACTGGCGGGGAAAGGACTCTGCGACGCCAAAGTGCCTGCACAACACCAGCCGATGCCGGCAGCTTGGCCTCTGCTTGCGGAGCCGCAAGGCGTGCAAAACTTGCTCACAGTCTGAGGCCTTCTGATCCCAGTCCAGCTGGATATCTGCACCAAGTTCCGGCAAACGCTCTGAGATTTCGATTCGAGGGCCAACGAAGCCCGTGCCATCCATTGCGAACAGATCGGGGGACCGTAACACTGTAACAATCTTGGAATCATAAACAGAGAGGCATACAGCAACACACGCCGGGGGTCGACTAAGGAGCGAATGATGCAGCTCTGTGCCTCTGTGTGTTCAGAATGCAATCGGAGCCTTCTGAGCAGCAGGGCTGCACATAGGTCGGAAACGATGAATCGTCAATGCAGTCTCCAACATTTTGACACAGCGGCAAAATTACGACTAGAGTAGCTGTCATTCGGAAATCTTTTCCATTGGAAGGCGCTGGCGTCGTGGACTGAACGACCACTGCTCCAAGTGCAATCGTCAAGATGTTGATGCCTCAAAAGCGGATCTTTGAAGATTGCTGTCGTCACCTGCGTCTCTGCCTTGGAGGCTCTTCGAATCGAGGCTTGCGGGGCGCTCTCGAAGCAGAAATAATCAAGTATAATCAAGTGCTGCTCCGCCTTCAAAGACGGGGGAAACCATCTAAGGCAGCTACGTTTGAGGCGAGGACCGCTGCCTTGGAGGCCACTTCATTCGGTCCACATCATCGTGCCTGAGCTTTCCAAGCTGAAGGCGTAACTTTTCAGAAGTAGAGTGCTTACAAGTGACACGACAGAAGCTGATTGCAAGCAAGCTTCGGCATCTGGTAGTTTGCGTCTCTGTGAAGGCCATGCTTCAGCAGCTCCTCATCTGTTCGAAACCGATGGAACTCCAGGTCGTCTTGATGCCTTGGTTGGAACTCTGAAGCCGCCCGGAGGCCCTTCGATCCGGGCAAGCTCGGAATACAACCTGGGTGCGGAGTCAAGAGAAGAGCTGCCGCTTGAAGGTGATGATGCTTTGATATGGCTTCGTTGAATCCCGAATCTCTGGAAGTCTTTGGATCGGAGTCCCCCAGTTGCCTTGTGTGTCAGAGTCATGCTTGCACCAAACTCTGACTCTGTGAGCTCGACTCAGTGAGGAAACTCTCATTTCTGCAGAGTGTCATTAGAACGGATGTAGGGCTCCTTTTGATGGCGTCTGTCGCACTTTCGTGAGCCAAAGGCGTGTGACTGAGGCGGTCATCGTGCCTTGGACTCACATGGTGCGTCGCTCTCTCTCTCTCTCTCTCTCTCTCTCTCTCTCTCTCTCTCCCTCCCTCACTCCCACTCTGCACTTTGGGTGTCGTGATTTGGCTATTGTACTCGAAGGGAGCTACCAAAGTTCTGCAAGTTCCAGTTCGAACCAGGGAGAGCTTTGCTGCATGCCATGAAAAGCCACGGCATCAGCATTGCAGTTCTCCAAAGGCCACTAGCATCCCCATCTGCACTTCCTCGCGTGATCACAGGCTACAGCATCTTCCCTGCGCAATGGCCAAGCGGGCCTACTGTGAGCCTGCGAGCCGATGACCAACCTTCGGAAACCTTACAGATGCATCGCTCTGGCAATGACAGCTGCTCTACATACTTGCGACAGCATGTCCTTTGGCTTCACAGAGCGAGACGCCATCTCTCATGAAGCTTGTGGCAACCTACCCTGCGGAGAAGTCGGACTTATGTTGAAACATCTCGATACCTCCAAAGTCGGCTAGACTGCCACCCCCGGATCAGTGGCATCAAGCTCTCCTCCCGGGAGTATACGAAAAGGAACGATTAGTGCAGGTCGGGCAGCGATGTCGCCTCGTCGATGACAAGCTCACCGCGCCTTGCTGGCAGTGTTCGACAAGGTGTCACGTGCACTGGCTCTCACACGAGTTTGAGTTACGCTCATACTGCTACCTGCGGGAATTACATTCCATCGTCTGCTTTGATCGCTGTTATGGCAAATCCAGCATGAGAATGGTCGGATCGAATCCGAATTTCACAGGCAAAGAGTTTACTTCAGCCGAATTGCGGCTGGACCCATCCTCGTTGATCTCGAATCCTGCCGGCTTCCAGACAAGCAGCGAGCACTGCAGAAGGTTAGAGAAGTGTATAGTATAGCAGCGCAAAGCCATGCAAGACCAGTATTGTGGCTTGATTCCGGGAGGGTGCGTGGGCCGTACAAGTGGGCCGCCGGTCGGCCTGACTGCTCCACCCGCCAGCCCGCAGCGCACGCCTCCTCTCGGATCGCAGTAGTTCAGTGGCAGCGGTCGCTTGTCCTGCTGTTCCGTTACAAGTCACGGGACACGCCGATTCTCAGTAAATGTCACTAGATGTCCTTTTGTATCGCCGGCAAAGGCCAGCATCATAACCACAACGGAAGAGCATCTTGGCATTTGCGCCTGTAGAGGTCGAGCCCATCGAGTTCCACCAGAACCGAGGGAAGGCCGTGGATTTCGCAAGTCTTTCCCAATTAGAATGGCAAGTTACGTGATGCAGACCGGGGAAGCTCCGGAAGGCTGCAGCAGGGAAACGATTAACTTGAAAATGAATGGTTTCTACAGGGGCCTCGAACCTCAACCCGACATGTTCCTGCAGTGAATTGCAAGTTTATGGCTTCGACAGGGCCTGGGACCTAGTCCCTACCTGGCATTGCAAAGATTAATGGTTTCTCCCAGAGCCAGGATCCCTTGAATCCGAAATGTTCCGGCAAACAATTAACTTGCAAAGTAACGGCTTCTGCAGGGCACCGAACCTTGACTGAATTGTCTGCGCAGGGTTTTCAGTCAAACACGAATCCTAGTGCCAATGAGAGAGGAATTCCACTAGTAATTGCGGAATACTAATGGAAGCAGCGGGGGATACTCGCACTGAATATTGAGAATACTAGTACTAGTAGTACCAATAAGAGGAATGCCAGTACTAATAAGAGGAATACAAGTACTAAGAGCTAAACCTATACAAAGCGAACAATCAACTTGCAGTTTAACTGTACCCCTAGAGCTTGTGCAAGCTAGCAACATTGAACCTACCCTGCAAGGAACCGATGTATTGAAACAATTGTCTTGCGAGTGAAAAGAAATATGCACCTGCGCAATCAGTTTCTTTCACGAAACGAGACTGGGCACCCCGCAACAAAGTGCCGACTCGTCTGTCCTGGAAGAGCCCTTGGTGGGGAATACGATGTGCACACGGAAAGCACATGCCATGCTCCTTTCCTCTTGAGGCCTGGGCTGCTATACGGATGGAACCACTCGGACCCATCTTGGGCCGAGTGCTCTCAATCTCTCCATTCAATTGCAATCGACACCAAGCTGGAAAGGCAGCTGCAGCTCTCTTTATTCCTACGAATGTTTGCCCGCTGTTCTGACGCGTTGTTTTCCTTCTATCCAGCAGCGTCTCGGTCGAGGTTGCCTGAAACGTTGACGGTTGTTTCCAGCTGGCAGTTCTGATCCGCCTGCCAAGGCTTCTTTACAGAACTCGCAAGACGCCGAGTAAATGCAGGTGTCATGAGCTTCTTTCTGCCTGCGCATCATCCACTGGCTGGATGCCTCGCCGCATAGGTTTCAACAAGCGACGGCGTGTTCCGCCTTCTGCTTGAGGATGCGAGTCTGCATAAAAGTACCACTGCAGGAACCTAAAACTGCCTCTCAAGCCAAGGTGCATTCTCGAGCCTCAACCCAACCCTGTAATGCCCGAAAGTTTTCGAAGCACGAAGACTTGCTGAAAAGAGGAGCCTCGGAGAAGTGCGCAAAGCGGAAGCGGCAGCAGCATGGCACAGCGACATAGCGCCACAAAGAGAGGAAGGCGTGCCCAGGAGCGGTCCTGGAGGGACTGGAAAATGCTCGCAGTGTTGCCCCTTCTCGGACTCCTCATTCAGCAAAAACGCCCAATCTGAAAGAATGATCGGTGTGAAAGAAAGAAAGCAAGGAAGACCCCAACAGTAGCCTCCGCGGATCCGAGGTCGAAGGCCTGCCAAGGGCAAAGTCTCTGCCAGCTCGATATAAATTCCCAAGGCCAGGAATGCTTTCCCAGCGATTGAAGCAGACGAGCAAGCAGGGGTGCGAAACAAAACAACTCCGGGCAGGGTCGGGCTATGACTTAGACCGGTGCGATCCTCACACGGGCGGTGTAAATGCAACTCTTCTTGCCATGCCAACGAACTCGGCAGACGTTTAGAATCATCATTTACGGGCCTGGACGATGAAGGACGCCATGCGAGCCGAGGCCTCGCTGGGGAAGGCACAAGCAGTGGGAACTTGGTTTGAAGTGGAAGTGGGGCCAGTCGTGATCTTGCCTGGTCCCCGAGATCCAGGATAAGGCTCAGCAGGGCAAAGCCAGCAGCCTCGAAGTCCTGCGGCCGAGTCCATGAAGGTACAATCCTAACAACGTAACGTTCTTTGCCCCGCATTAACCTCGCCGAACGATGCTTGCAGGGGTACAGTGGAGTTGGAAGCAAGAATTGTCTAGAGCACCTGTGAACAGACCGGAGCAAGAAGTTTCGGCATTCATCTGCGGAAATTCTTCGATGTTTTCACTCTCCACGTTCTTCTTGGAACCCACTTTCCCATTGCTACCACTGTACCTTTCTGTGCTGTCGAACATGTTTAGCTTGCGGCCTGGGGTCTGCTGTCTTTGTTGGTCGATGCGAGGATTGCAGGAGGTTTGCTGGGGTTGCTATCTGTGCATCATCAGCCTGTTTAGGAGCATGCCGTTGTGGCCAACCGGGTCCGATACTAGGTAGAACGAAGGCAGGGTAAGGGCACACAGGCCGCTTTGATCCGATTTGTAGCGACGAGCACTTTAGGCAAGTCGGAAACTGGTCGAAGCTTCACGGAAGGCCTCCTCAACCCAGAAAAAAACCACAAAGTCAGCCCTTGAATCATCAACTTCTGAAGAGATCCGGGGAGGTGCAAAATCTTTTCTGCGAGGTGCACGTTTCCGTTGAGCTTGGGATTGGTTCATTTCAGCGCCTTGGCTGTGCATCGGCCTCAAGACCTCTCACCAGTCAAGCGCCCCCGGACCCCCGGAATCCTATCTTGTCCCTACCAGTTCTACCATGAACCGAATTGCGATGCGGCCCGTCTCCTTAGGCGCGCATTGTGCGCAAATGGCCAGGTTCGGAAGGAAGGAGAGGCTATCGACGGCCCCTGGAATCACAGTGATTGCGTGGTTGAGACACTGTGGGCAAGTTGGCTCTTGTTGACAATTAAAAACAGCTGGGCTCGGATGAATTACATTGCGACAAAGCAACCAACAGCTGCTGCGCCCAAGGCATACATCCAGGGCATGCCTGGACTTCTCTGCCCAAGTGAACATTCAGGGTCGTGCAAACGACGCAACACGTAGCGACACCAGTGGATCACCCTGTGCATTCCGTGACAGGGTGCTTGGGCTCGCAGCAGCCAGTAAGCACTGCACGGCTGCTCCCACAAATGCCTCTCTGCAGAGTCGGACTCGCTGGCTTTGCAGCCACACGTAATCTTCTGAGAAACTTGTTACGTACAGCCCCGATCGTTAGAACCCGATCATATAAGCGACTCAGCACAACCGCTATCGCAGCGGTGTGTCTGCTCCCGTGTACAAAGTGATTTTCGAGAGCTTTCAACGGCACTCCCGGCACCTGCATGGACTTGCTAGTCTGTCTAAGTGGGAGCGGTCTGCTACTGGGGTCCCCAGCAGAAAGGATAGCCGTGGCGACGATGGTTGGGACAAGCCGCCGCCGGCACTGCGGCAAGGCCTGACAAGTGCAGCCGCCCCAGAAATTGTTTGAAAAAAGGTTTCCAATGAAGGCCTCGCCTGAAAACTCACTAGTGCCAGCAGGGACCCCAAGTTCGAGCAGGCGAAGATGATGGACACCCAAACGCCGCTCACCTCTCGCCATTCTGCCGCCCCTCTTCATCTGTCTTTGCAAGGCCGCGCCTTTGTAGATACGAATCCGGAAAAAGTATCGCTTTCTGTGGGCATCTCAGCGAGTCAAGAAACGTATGCTAAATGCCGAAACAGGACTGGAGTTGGGCACCAGGCTGCCCCTCGCACAAAGAGAAAAATTGCACCAAACCAGGCACCTGTGACAAGTTGCACCAACCACAGGGACCTGCACCTGTTGTTCTCGAAGCTCTCTGCATGCATGCCATGACAACTTGCCTCTGGGCACAAGCCGGCAAAGCTGTCTTTGGCCTTCCATACAAGCACGGTGCACATCAGATCATTGAAGCAGAGAGCTGCGAAGACTCGATACATGTAGCTACTTTCGCCATCAGTGTCCGGCCGCTTGAAGCACCTGGATGTGCGTTCGTGCCTCAAGCGTCCGCTGCCACAACTGCAGAGGCTGTGTGGTGTCGGCAAGTCGAATGTCATGAAGCAGACAGTGGATCAGCATTCAGCTTGGCCCTCCTCTTGCCTGCACCTACACGGCCAGGAAGCTCAAAAGCTGGAAACGTGGTCAGCCTCATTCGCAGAGCCAGGGAGTTGAGAGAGAATGAGAGGCAGATGTGAGGGCACGTTGCGATGGCGGTGGCTAGTGGCACCAGTGCCTGGAACCAAGGACGTTCCTGAAACCTCTCCTGCTGAATATGCCCAAGGCCGCTGCGCAAACCCGAACCGCCATGTAGTGGCTACCTGCCACGAGCACGCCGAGAGAGAGAGCGATAGCCCTCTTCGCGCGGAAAGATGCTGCCAGGCGGCTAAAAACTTTGAGCATCAGCGGGGAGGCTGCAAAGGCAGCCAAGCTGCCGGCCTTAAGCTTCCCCCAAAGAGACTTCTTTTTGTGTGCGCTTTTCTGGCCGGGCCCCCCGGCCGTTTTAAAAGAAAAAGACTTAGCCTGCACCTCGTACTAGCACGCAAAAAAAGCCAATATCAATGTGTAGACGTCTTGCAAAGCATACCATCTGGCCTCTGTTGCGGAGCGCCCCGTCTTTCGCCTGAAAGGCCAGACTGCAACATGGACAGCATCTGGCGAACAATCTAGCACTGAGTCGCTTAAAGCATTCGTGCCAGGCTGCATCAGCTCTACAGACACGCCGTCCAGCACAGCCTCCTTGCGAGCAAAGCGATCCACGATGAAGGCGTACGAATTGAGATCACTTGATACAGCTTTTGGGAGATGTACAGCATTAAGGTGTCTGAATCGGTCTAAGTAGCAGCAGCACCAGTGCAAAGCGCGACCGCAGTGTAAGCGACCTTAGCAACGGAATGAGACAGCTTCGATGGAAGGACAAAGAGAGTAGCACTTCAGCGGTGTATACCGTGGCCCTGGCAAAATAGCCCCAACGTGTCCTGCCATGGGAGTCTTGGAATTGCAGCTGTTTGCAGACATCATCGTGTTCTGGATACATGTTTGCTGCCTGCTCACTGAAGCTTGGACAAGTCCCAAAGCCCAGATCACCTGTAGCAGGACCTAGGCATGACCAACTCAATGCAGGGCCGTCCACTGTGAAAGGCTACGTGCCCGCGGAATGTGTGGCCCGACCAGGGCCAATGCAAGTACCGGCCGCCGACCGCAGTTGCAGCGCCGGACTCCATCCGACAAGGCACCTCTCTTCCACTGCTCCCAATCTCAGTGCTGTGGGAGGCAACAGAAGTAGAAGCCTGACCTAGTAGTGGTCTTATCAATGCCGGTGCGAGCAATGCGTTGGCATAGAACGCGTTGACCTTGTTTTTCTGTGACAGGCAGATGCGAGCGGATCCAAGTTTTCCTTCCCTTAAAGGGCTCTTGGTCAACAAAGGCACCCGCCTCCTCGGGGTGGGCCCGGCCATCCTCATGTTTCGGCTCTTCACATGCAGGATCCGCACAGGGCTAAGCCGGCTAAGCTTCACAGAGTCAGACACGACTCGTAGTATGCAGCTGAAAGAATGTGTCGTTCAAGTTTTGGTGTTGCTTGACATTGCATCTAGCATCGCCAAGCGTCCAAGTCAACATTCAGAATCAGTCCCATAGCAGATAATGGGAGGCTTTGCGCGAATGCCTGAGTGGATCCATTGCGATAAATGACATGTTTCTTCTTGCTGCACACTTCTTGGAAAATAAGGCAGCGCATTGAACTTGACAGTCGCTAAGACTGGCTGCAGCGAGGAGATATTGCACGAAAAATGCCTTGGTGGGTTGTGGCCACGCGTACCAGACGTCTCACAGCATAGAAACGACTGCCCAGTCGCAAGATGACGGTTTGTCCACGGCTGCATGCCATCTCCAGAAGTCATTCGCTGGACAACAGCAAGTCTTGTTCTCTAACTTCTGCCGCCCCATATTTTACACAAGCTCCCAGTGTCAAAAGGCCCTGCATACCTTGAAGCAGGCACCATTGTGTCTTCCCTGCTCTGAGAATGATCTTGCAGCACTTTCCGGTTGTTCTGCTTGCACGGAATGCACGATGTCTTGGAATTGAGCCGAGGCTTCATACTTGTCTATTGCTGCGGCATCAACTTTTGGCATGGGGATAAATGCCTTCCTACATTATTTGCAAGCTTTTCAACGACCTGCAGGAGCAGGCTGCCAAGTCGAATCCGAGGCTTGTGAAACTTGTGCTGTTGGATTTCCAGCAACACTGTGGCTGTGAAAAGTGCGGAAACATGCGGAAACCATTTGCGTCAGGTCTTGAGTTTTAAGCCTAGAGCAAGTCACTGTGACTGTGGCACATGCATGCAGTTTGCCTCCAAATTATGCCAACTGTCTAAAAAAGGCTAACTGACTGGCTTGCCATTGTACAACAGGTGTCCCCATCGTATCGGTGTTTTACAGTTTACATGAGCAATGGTGAAAGCAGGTGACATGTGGCGCAGCACCTCACTCTTCTGCTGCTTGACCTTCACCTGCTGCGACTCTTGCGATGTCAATTACGACTTACCATGCAAAGTGCGCTGCCTACCGGGTGGTGGTCGACTGTACATGAACTCCATGACCCTCTCTGGACATACAACATGCTGGCCATTCTTGGAGGCCGCTTCGAAGCCGACTCCAGTGCAGACCTTTTTCGAGCAAAGCAGTCGCAGCGTGTGCAACTATGTGTCGCTCGACGTTGTAGGCACCTGGCCAAACAAGGCACTTCAATTTCCAGAAGCTCCAGAGAGCAACATGGAGCAGCTGAGCATGGCTTCAGACCGAACGAAAGCAACCTCTCGGACGTTCGTTGTTTATTGGTCTCGCAAGCCTTGGCGGTACTCCGAATCGCCTCTGTTGGCATCTCTGGCCGCGGTGGTTCAAGAGGTGGATCGGCTGGGCGAATCGCCTCTGGCTCGGCCGGCCTCGGGCAGTGCCACTGCGACCGGGCCACCCTGTCGCACTTTCTGAGGTCCTTTTGAGGGAGCGATTTTCCGCACTGGGGGACCTGCGCGTTGCCTTGCTCGGGAGCCTGCGCAGGATGGGATTGCCCTCCAGCTTGGTAATCAGAAAGGCCATCCAACCTCTGGAGGGAGTTTGTACTCAACCTCCGCTTGGATGAGGTCCGGCACCATCGAAGACACGATTGTGCCGGTGTCTAGCCTCCAGCTCTCGAAGTCGCCACAAGTTAAGAGGCTTTCTGGGGTTCCTGCCTGGCTGCACTGCCGAAAAGAGCCTCAAGATGGGAGGCCACCAAGGGCACCAGGATGTCGGCCTTGGGAGCCATTGCCAGCACGTCGTGCCAACTCTCGCCATGTGCGGCTTGGTGACAAAGTGTCTGCAAAGCTTCTGGAATTCCCCGGCCTTGGCCGAGCCTGCCGAGGCAAGGGTTAAAAAGACACGAGCACTGCCACAAGCTGCTTCGTGCCTGGTCGCAGAGTTTGCGAGGCCAGGACAGACCGCAACAGGTTTACGGAAGCCATGCAGCACTCGTAGCCTTGCAAGGACTGGTGTGTATTGCGATTCACGCGGACTGTTCACGATATCAGCATGCTGGTGACTTCACGAACAGAATCCTGCACCAAACAGATTTGCAGAAGAACAGAGCACTCGGACGTGGGCCTGAAACAAAATGGTCGCTGCCTATGGATGTCTTCACTTGCTGCTGCTCTGGCACAGTGAGTCACCACACTGACGCGGAGACCGTAGAGCGCACACTGTCGAAGTTCGTTGAAGACCTGCATGCCGAGTGTCAAGCAATGACCATGTCGGAGCACGTCAGCCCGAGGCAGCAGCAGCAGCAGCAGCAGCAACTGCAGCAACTGCAACTACACTGCTTCTGCTTCGGCTGCAGATTCTGCTGCTGCTGCTGCTGCTGCTGCTGCTGCTGCCACTGCCACTGCCACTGCCACTGCGACTGCTACTCCTACTCCTCTTCCTGCTGCTACTCTGCATTTCCCGCCTTTCAGTTTCTACTGTCTACTTCCCATTTAATACTTACTACTGACTACAAGCTACAAGCTATTAACTACCAGCTGCTACCTACTCGTGATGACGACAACCACTACTACTAGTACCACTAGGCCTCATCTCAACGATCCACGTTCTTGGATGTTAGGGGGCTGGGGTGGGGGGGGGCGGGGGTAATAACCTGCAGGTTACTTGTGCGGGGATTTCACATTTATGCTTGGAGTGGTACGCTACCACCGCTGCTACGGCTGCTGCTGCTGCTGCTGCTGCTGCTGCTACTGCTGCTACTACTGCTACTACTGCTGCTACTGCTACAACTACTACTACTACTACTACTACTACTAGCCATGCCCTCCCCCTACCAACCGCCTGGCGCCTAAACCCATCATCATCATCATCATCACCATCGTTGGTATTGGACTGCAACATCACGAATGTACTGTGAGTACAGAGTAAAATGGATGTGGTCTTAAAAGAAGTACGTCATCATCCCCCCCTCCTCACCCCCGCACCCCCACCTCCGCGCCCGCAACCCATCATCAACAACATCACGAAAGTGATGTAAATACCGAGTAACATGGGCGTGGACTTAAACAGCGTTTACGAGAGGTGGTTGGTAGGGGGGGGGGCGCTCCTCCTCCTCCCCCCCCTGCTGCTACTACACTACTACTACTACTCCTCCTCCTCCTCCTCCTCCTCCTCCTCCTCCTGCTGCTGCTGCTGCTGCTGCTGCTGCTGCTACTGCTGCTACTACTGCTCCTACTGCTGCTACTGCTGCTGCTGCTGCTGCTGCTACT